TAATTTTAATAATAATAATAATAATAATGCAGACTGATAAAATACTGCATTATAGTACACAGAGAGAAGAAGACACTACGGACCCTACCAAAATCTTCAAACTTTACTTGAAACTGGGCAACTCCTGAAGTATGGGAAAAGCAAAGTAGTTTCCCCCTTTTAAAATAGGAACAAAAAAAAACACTAAATTGCAGTCAGTGTCACGACGTGTAGAGTATTCAAAGTCATGGAGAAAATTATCAGAGGAGATGGGGGGAGCACCGGAACGGAACAAGATTAAAACACAGATAGCATTGATTCATGGAAAAGGCAAATCCGTTCACAAACCTATGGATTTTATACAAGGGAACGAAGTAAGAAATAAGGGAGGAGTGGGTTGATTGGTTTTTTTTTGGACTGCAAAAAGGGGCCCTTTGCACAGTTCCTCAAAAATTAGACAGAAGCTAAAGGAACAGGGAATATAAAAGGGAAAGGGTACGAATGGATCAAGAAACCTAACAGGGGGCAACAGCGAGTCATGGTCTTGATGAGGTATCACAGGGGGCCTTACAGCAGGGTCCCCCCAGGGGGCATCCTGGGGCCGTGCTAGTCTTGGTATATGTAACAACATGACAAGGGATAACCCCCAGAACTGCCCTTTTCAGATAATTAATTAATGAGGAAAAATTTAAAACAGACTTGGGCCGACAGCTACAAAGAGACCGGACAGGCTGGATCGGGCCAGCAACTGCCTAGAATTTAACCCCGCCAAATCAAAGTCCCCTGAGATTGGAGAAGGGCAAAGAAAACCGTGGACAAGTATAGGCTAGGGGTCCAAAGGCGCAAACCTTACTCAAGGAGAAAAATCTTTGGAGGAGTAAATACCGAGTATAATAACCAAAACGCTGCAGCAATGGGTGCCGGGGAAACCCGAGAAAAGCAATTTCCCTACCTCTGTATGGAATCGTTTTAAGACTTATCACTGTGTATGTCGGGCCCCTACTGGGGTAAAAAAGCACCAGTTTGGAACCCACACCCGGGCCAAGCACGTCAAAAAATTAAGAAAGTCAAAGGTTTGCAACAAGGCAGTTCCAGAGTAAGGGGAATGTCCCTATGAAGAAAGGTTTAAAAGGAAATATCTGACGACACTGGGACATTAGGGTCAAGGGGGACATATAACAACATACAAAATACTGCAGGAATAGACAAGGGGGACAAGACAGGATGCTCCAGGGGTAGAAAAAAAAACAAGGGGGCACAATTGGAAACTGAAGACTCAATGATCAAAGGGGGTTAGGAATATTTCTTTTAGCCACAGATTTTTGGGAAAGGGGAAAAGTCTGGCAATGGTGTAGTGGAGGCAGGAACTATAAATTTTTAAACGAGGTTATATAAAGCTCATGGAGCAGGAGAGGGGGCCCAGTAAGGGCATAAAAAGGGAGGGGCCCGACTGAGTCTCAACCCCCAAATCCCAATTAGGTGATACAAATTTGGGGAATTAGGTTAAATACTATCACAAAATTACTACAGAAGTACACAGGAATGAAACTTTTTTGCATCAAAACAGCACGGATTCAGAACGGGGGAAATTTTGTGTCAAAACCTACTGGGGTTTCTATGACAGGTTGGAAAGGGAATAAGACAAAGAAGAGGGGGGGTACACTGCATTTTTTGGGCTGCAAGAAGGCGTTTGACACAGTTTCCCCCAAGAGATTAGTGCAAAAACTGGAGGCCCCAAACAGGTAACAGGGAAAAGGGACACAATGGAAAGGGAATACTTTTCGGGAAAAACCGATCATGGTACGGGCGAGGTTTTCAAAATGGCACCTGTGACCACGGGGGCCCCCCCCGGGGGCATCCTAACCAGTGCGTTTATGGTATATGTGAACGACTGACGGAGGAAAAAACTCAGAAGGTCTCCTGCAACCTGTGAAGTTAATGAGGGGAATTCAACGGAGGAGGACCAAGCAGGACACAAGGGATCTGGGCGGGTGTGGCCTGGTCTAGAAACTGGCCCAGAGTTCAATCCCACCAAGTGCAAAGTCAAAGATCAAGGGAAGGGGGAAAGAAAACCACACCGGTACAGTTAGGGGGGCAAGACTAAAAAACACTCAAGGAAAAAGATCTTGGGGTGAGTATAACACGAGGCACATCTCCTGAAGTGCACATCAACCAAATAACTGCTGCAGCATATGGGCGCCTAGCAAACCTCAGAACAGCATTCCGACATCTTAGCCAAAGAATCGTTCAAGACTCTGTACACCGTGTACGTTAGGCCCATACTTGAGTATGCAGCACCAGTTTGGAACCCACACCTGGGCAAGCACGTCAAGAAATTAAGAGAAAGTGCAAAGGTTTGCAACAAGACTAGTATTGTGAGGAGAAGAGGTTAAGGAAAATCGACCTGACGACACTGGAGGACAGGAGAGACTGGGAAGACATGATAACGACATATAAAATACTGCGAGGAATTGACAAGGTGGACAGAGACAGGATGTTCCAGAGATGGGACACAGCAACAAGGGGACACAGTTGGAAGTTGAAGACACAGATGAATCACAGGGATGTTAGGAGGTATTTCTTCAGCCACAGAGTAGTCCGGAAGTAGTAGTCTGGAAAGGGAGGTGGTGGAGGTAGGAACCATACATACCTGGAGTTTACCTGGAGAGAGTTCCGGGGGTCAACGCCCCCGCGGCCCGGTCTGTGACCAGGCCTCCTGGTGGATCAGAGCCTGATCAACCAGGCTGTTACTGTTGGCTGCACGCAAACCAACGTACGAGCCACAGCCCGGCTGGTCAGGAACCGACTTTAGGTGCTTGTCCAGTGCCAGCTTGAAGACTGCCAGGGGTCTGTTGGTAATCCCCCTTATGTGTGCTGGGAGGCAGTTGAACAGTCTCGTGCCCCTGACACTTATTGTATGGTCTCTTAACGTGCTAGTGACACCCCTGCTTTTCATTGGGGGGATGGTGCATCGTCTGCCAAGTCTTTTGCTTTCGTTGTGAGTGATTTTCGTGTGCAAGTTCGGTACTAGTCCCTTTAGGATTTTCCAGGTGTATATAATCACGTATCTCTCCCGCCTGCATTCCAGGGAATACAGGTTTAGGAACCTCAAGCACTCCCAGTAATTGAGGTGTTTTATCTCCGTTATGCGCGCCGTGAAAGTTCTCTGTACATTTTCTAGGTCAGCAATTTCACCTGCCTTGAAAGGTGGTGTTAGTGTGCAGCAATATTCCAGCCTAGATAGATAAAGTTCATGGAGCAGGGAGAGTGACCTAGTAGCGACCAGTGAAGAGGCGGGGCTAGAAGCTATGAATCGACCCCTGCAACTACAATTAGGCGAGTACAGGCATAATATACTAGCATGATAGTACACCATCTAGAACTTAAATGCAACCTAAGTTCCTTTAATTTTAGCCTAAAATCATCCCAGTATTCCACAAAGACTCTCGGATGATAAAGAGAGAGCCCATCCATCCTGCCAGGGTTCTGGTACCTACCATATCATCCCTCCAGTCCACTACATCATCATGCCAGGGTTCTGGTACCTACCATATCATTCCTCCAGTCCACTACATCATCCTGCCAGGGTTCTGGTACCTACCATATCATTCCTCCAGTCCACTACATCATCCTGCCAGGGTTCTGGTACCTACCATATCATCCCTCCAGTCCTCTACATCATCCTGCCAGGGTTCTGGTACCTACCATATCATTCCTCCAGTCCACTACATCATCATGCCTTGGTTCTGGTACCTACCATATCATTCCTCCAGTCCACTACATCATCATGCCTTGGTTCTGGTACCTACCATATCATTCCTCCAGTCCACTACATCATCATGCCTTGGTTCTGGAAACCTACCATATATTCCCTCCATCCACTACATCATCCTGCCAGGGTTCTGGTACCTACCATATCATCCCTCCAGTCCACTACATCATCATGCCAGGGTTCTGGTACCTACCATATCATTCCTCCAGTCCACTACATCATCCTGCCAGGGTTCTGGTACCTACCATATCATTCCTCCAGTCCACTACATCATCCTGCCAGGGTTCTGGTACCTACCATATCATCCCTCCAGTCCACTACATCATCCTGCCAGGGTTCTGGTACCTACCATATCATTCCTCCAGTCCACTACATCATCATGCCAGGGTTCTGGTACCTACCATATCATCCCCCAGTCCCACTACATCATCCTCCAGGGTTCTGGTACCTACCATATCATTCCTCCAGTCCACTACATCATCCTGCCAGGGTTCTGGTACCTACCATATCATTCCTCCAGTCCACTACATCATCATGCCTTGGTTCTGGTACCTACCATATCATTCCTCCAGTCCACTACATCATCATGCCTTGGTTCTGGTACCTACCATATCATTCCTCCAGTCCACTACATCATCCTGCCAGGGTTCTGGTACCTACCATAATCATTCCTCCCAGTCCACTACATCATCATGCCTTGGTTCTGGTACCTACCAAAACCCATTCCTCCAGCCCCACTACATCATCATGCCAGGGTTCTGGTACCTCCCATATCATCCCTCCAGCCCAACTACATCATCATGCCAGGTTCTGGTACCTACCATATCATTCCTCCAGTCCATACAATCATCATGCCTTTGGGTTCGGGTACCTACCATATCATTCCTCCAGTCCACTAACATCATCCTCCAGGGTTCTGGTTACCACCATATATTCCTCCAGTCCACTACATCATCATGCCAGGGTTCTGGTACCTACCAAAATCATTCCTCCAGTCCACTACATCATCCTCCAGGGTTCTGGGTACCTACCATATCATCCCTCCAGTCCACTACATCATCATGCCAGGGTTCTGGTACCTACCATATCATTCCTCCAGTCCACTACATCATCATGCCTTGGTTCTGGTACCTACCATATCATTCCTCCAGTCCACTACATCATCCTGCCAGGGTTCTGGTACCTACCATATCATTCCTCCAGTCCACTACATCATCATGCCAGGGTTCTGGTACCTACCATATCATTCCTCCAGTCCACTACATCATCCTGCCAGGGTTCTGGTACCTACCATATCATTCCTCCAGTCCACTACATCATCCTGGAGTCGACGACCATGATCGATGTAATGTGCAAGTTGATCATTGAGGTCGACCCACCAGCGGGAGATGACATCTGGGCTACTGTACGTCTCCGCAGCATCCTGCCAGATGATAAGGATGATAATTATCATTACTACATCCTGGCAGAAGATTATTATGATAATTGTTATTATGATTATCATTATTAAAGTCTAACCTAGATAACAAACTTGCTGCTTGAGTCTGACCTTGAGAACAAGGATGTGAATGGATGCTATATCAGAAAAGTGAATGATCATAGACTCAGGTCTCTCCCCAGCTTCCACCAGGTAACGATTGGCAACGATGGACGTGGAAAGAGAGTTGGCAACAATGTTCTTGTCTGGGTAAGTGGTGCTGTCTACTGGTGATTCGTAGTACCTGGTTAGTACATAACTAAATTAGTATATAAGTATATCTGGAGAGGTTTCGGGGGTGAACGCCCCCGTGGACCGGTCTGTGACCAGGCCTCGTGGTTTAGTTTTTAGTTTAATATGTTTATTATGCACCTCATACCCATCCTGTGGGCGGTAGTCACCACATACCCATCCTGTGGGCGGTAGTCACCACATACCCATCCTGTGGGTGGTAGTCACCACATACCCATCCTGTGGGCGGTAGTCACCCCATACCCATCCTGTGGGCGGTAGTCACCACATACCCATCCTGTGGGGGGTAAATCACCCCATACCCATCCTGTGGCGGTAGTCACCCCATACCCATCCTGTGGGCGGTAGTCACCCCATACCCATCCTGTGGGCGGTAGTCACCACATACCCATCCTGTGGGCGGTAGTCACCACATACCCATCCTGTGGGCGGTAGTCACCCCATACCCCCATCCTGTGGGCGGAAGTCACCCCATACCCATCCTTGGGCGGTAGTCACCACATACCCATCCTGTGGGTGGTAGTCACCCCATACCCATCCTGTGGGCGGTAGTCACCACATACCCTCCGTGGGGGGTAGTCACCCCATACCCATCCTGTGGGCGGTAGTCACCACATACCCATCCTGTGGGCGGGAGTCACCACATACCCATCCTGTGGGCGGTAGTCACCACAAAACCCATCCTGTGGGCGGTAGTCACCCTATACCCATCCTGTGGGCGGTAGTCACCCCATACCCATCCTGTGGCGGTAGTCACCACATACCCATCCTGTGGGTGGTAGTCACCCCATACCCATCCTGTGGGCGGTAGTCACCAACATACCCATCCTGTGGGCGGTAGTCACCCCATAACCCATCCTGGGGGCGGTAGTCACCCCATACCCATCCTGTGGTGGTAGTCACCACATACCCATCCTGTGGGTGGTAGTCACCCCATACCCATCCTGTGGGCGGTAGTCACCCCATACCCCTCCTGTGGGCGGTAGTCACCCCATACCCATCCTGTGGGCGGTAGTCACCACATACCCATCCTGTGGGCGGTAGTCACCCCATACCCATCCTGTGGGCGGTAGTCACCCCCCTACCCATCCTGTGGTGGTATCACCACATACCCATTTCCCGTGGGTGGTAGTCACCCCATACCCATCCTGTGGGCGGTAGTCACCCCATACCCATCCTTGGGCGGGGAGTCACCACATACCCATCCTTGGGTGGTAGTCACCACATACCCATCCTGTGGGTGGTTTGTCACCACATACCCATTCCTGTGGGCGGTAGTCACCACATACCCATCCTGTGGGGGGTAGTCACCACATACCCATCCTGTGGGTGGTAGTCACCACATACCCATCCTGTGGGCGGTAGTCACCACATACCCATCCTGTGGGCGGTTTGTCACCACATACCCATCCTGTGGGCGGGAGTCACCACATACCCATCCTGTGGGCGGTAGTCACCACATACCCAATCCTGTGGGCGGTAGTCACCACAACCCCTCCTGTGGGTGGTAGTCCCACATACCCATCCTGTGGGCGGTAGTCAAACCACATACCCATCCTGTGGGTGGTAGTCACCCATACCCATCCTGTGGGCGGTAGTCACCACATACCCATCCTGTGGGGGGTAGTCACCACAAAACCCATCCTGTGGGCTAGTCACCACATACCCATCCTGTGGGCGGTAGTCACCACATACCCATTCCTGTGGGCGGTTTGTAACCACATACCCATCCTGTGGGGGGTAGTCACCCCATACCCATCCTGTGGGCGGTAGTCACCCCCATACCCATCCGTGGGGGGGTAGTCCCCCACATACCCATCCGTGGGCGGTAGTCACCCCATACCCATCCTGTGGGGGGTAGTCACCCCCTACCCATCCTGTGGGTGGTAGTCACCACATACCCATCCTGTGATTTGGGAGTCACCCCATACCCATCCTTGTTGGGCGGTAGTCACCCCATTTCCCATCCTGTGGGCGGTAGTCACCACATACCCATCCTGTGGGTGATAGTCACCACATACCCATCCTGTGGGTGGTAGTCACCACATACCCATCCTGTGGGCGGTAGTCACCACATACCCATCCTGTGGGCGGTAGTCACCCCATACCCATCCTGTGGGTGGTAGTCACCACATACCCATCCTGTGGGTGGTAGTCACCCCATACCCTCCTGTGGGCGGGAGTCACCACATACCCATCCTGTGGGCGGGAGTCACCCTATACCCATCCTGTGGGCGGTAGTCACCCCATACCCAACCTGTGGGCGGTAGTCACCCCATACCCATCCTGTGGGCGGTAGTCACCACATACCCATCCTGTGGGCGGTAGTCACCACATACCCCCTCCGTGGGCGGTAGTCACCACATTTCCCATCCTGTGGGCGGTAGTCCCCCCACATACCCATCTGTGGGCGGTAGTCCACCACATACCCATCCTGTGGGCGGTAGTCCCCATACCCAATCCTGTGGCGGTAGTCACCACATACCCATCCCGTGGGCGGGGGAGTCAAACCCCATACCCATCCTGTGGGCGGTAGTCACCACATACCCATCCTGTGGGTGGTAGTCACCACATACCCCTCCTGTGGGCGGTAGTCAACCCAATACCCATCCTGTGGGCGGTAGTCACCACATACCCATACTGTGGGCGGTAGTCACCCCATACCCATCCTGTGGGCGGTAGTCACCCCATACCCATCCTGTGGGCGGTAGGGCACCCCATACACATCCTGTGGGCGGTAGTCACCACATACCCATCCTGTGGCGGTAGTCACCACATACCCATCCTGGGGGCGGTAGTCACCACATACCCATCCTGTTTGGGGGGTAGTCACCCCATACCCATCCTGTGGGCGGTAGTCACCCCCTACCCATCCTGTGGGCGGTAGTCACCCCATACCCATCCTGTGGGCGGTAGTCACCACATACCCATCCTATGGGTGGTAGACCCCCATACCCATCCTGTGGGAGGTAGTCCACCACATACCCATCCTGTGGGTGGTAGTCACCCCATACCCATCCTGTGGGCGGTAGTCACCACATACCCATCCTGTGGGGGGTAGTCACCAAAATACCCATCCTGGGCGGTAGTCACCACAACCCATCCTGTGGGCGGTAGTCACCCTATAAACCCCTCCCGTGGGCGGTAGTCACCCCATACCCATCCTGTGGGCGGTAGTCACCCCATACCCATCCTGTGGGCGGTAGTCACCACATACCCATCCTGTGGGTGGTAGTCACCCCCTACCCATCCTGTGGGCGGTAGTCACCACATACCCATCCTGTGGGCGGTAGTCACCACATACCCATCCTGTGGGCGGTAGTCACCACATACCCATCCTGTGGGCGGGAGTCACCCCATACCCATCTGTGGGCGGGAGTCACCCATACCCATCCTGTGGGCGGTAGTCACCACATACCCATCCTGTGGGCGGTAGTCACCCCATACCCATCCTGTGGGCGGTAGTCACCCCCTACCCCATCCTGTGGGTGGTAGTCACCACATACCCTCCTGTGGGTGGTAGTCACCCCATACCCATCCTGTGGGCGGTAGTATCACCCATACCCATCCTGTGGGGGGTAGTCACCACATACCCCCTCCTGTGGGTGGTAGTCACCACATACCCACCTGTGGGTGGTAGTCACCACATACCCATCCTGTGGGCGGTAGTCACCACATACCCATCCTGTGGGCGTAGTCACCACATACCCATTTCCCGTGGGTGGTAGTCACCACATAAACCCCTCCTGTGGGCGGTAGTCACCACATACCCATCCTGTGGGCGGTAGTCAATACATACCTCCTGTGGGCGGTAGTCACCACATACCCATCCTGTGGGCGGTAGTCACCACATACCCATCCTGTGGGCGTAGTCACCACATACCCATCCTGTGGGTGGTAGTCACCACATACCCATCCTGTGGGCGGTAGTCACCACATACCCATCCTGTGGGTGGTAGTCACCACATACCCATCCTGTGGGCGTTAGTCACCACATACCCATCCTGTGGGCGGTAGTCACCACATACCCACCTGTGGGCGGGAGTCACCACATACCCATCCTGTGGGCGTTTGGGCACCCCCTACCCATCCTGTGGGCGGTAGTCACCCCATAAACCCCTCCCCGTGGGCGGTAGTCACCACATACCCATCCTGTGGGCGGTAGTCACCCCATACCCCCTCCTGTGGGCGGTAGTCACCCCATAAAACCCCTCCTGTGGGTGGTAGTCACCACATACCCATCCTGTGGGTGGTAGTCACCCCATACCCATCCTGTGGGCGGTAGTCACCCCATACCCATCCCGTGGGCGGTAGTCACCACATACCCATCCTGTGGGTGGTAGTCACCACATACCCATCCTGTGGATGGTAGTCACCACATACCCATCCTGTGGGTGGTAGTCACCACATACCCATCCTGTGGGTGGTAGTCACCACATACCCATCCTGTGGGCGGTAAGTCCCCCACATACCCATCCTGTGGGTGGTAGTCACCACTACCCAAACCTGGGGCGGTAGTCACCCATAACCCCATCCTGTGGGCGGTAGTCACCCCATACCCATCCTGTGGGTGGTAGTCACCACATCAATCCTTTGGGGGGTAGTCACCCCATACCCATCCTGTGGGCGGTAGTTACCCCATACCCATCCTGTTGGGGGGGTAGTCACCACATACCCATCCTGTGGGGGGTAGTCACCACATACCCATCCTGTGGGTGGTAGTCACCACATACCCATCCTTTTGGGCGGTAGTCACCACATACCCATCCTGTGGCGGTAGTCACCCCATACCCATCCTGTGGGGGGGGTAGGGCACCACATACCCATCCTGGGCGGTAGTCCACCCCATAAACCCCTCCTGTGGGCGGTAGTCACCCCATACCCATCCTGTGGGTGGTAGTCACCACATACCCATCCTGTGGGTGGTAGTCACCCATACCCATCCTGTGGGCGGTAGTCACCCCATAAACCCATCCTGTGGGCGGTAGTCAC